ATGTCATATATATAGAACAGTTGCATACTAAAATTTGGCCTTTCACAATCAGCAATTTTTATAAATACACTAACATACAGGCTACGAACTTAACTGCACCGAGACAAACAGTTATTAACTCCCCAACCTTTCTGAACTGGACGAGTGATTCACATAGAATTTAAAAAAAAAGCATTATTTCATGCTAAAAAAACTCATATACATACGCCACTGAATCCTTAAGCACAGAGAGCTGACGCTTAGGAACGGAGATATACAGGAGGATATTTCCTTGGATGACTGGGGTGTGATATGTACTGAGACACATAGACAAACTGCGAATACCAGATTAAGATTGCCACAGCACAACTGGCTGAGTTTAATAATAACATTCCAGATATATGTACTAGGTGTGAACAGTCTAAAGGGACACTTTTTCACTGGATGTGGGAGTGCAAAGAGATTGCAACTTTCTGGTGCGAGATCTCACAAATAATTCACAAAATGCTAGATGTTATGATACCTCTTGATCCTAAATTGTTTATTTTGGGACTTTACCCCTCCACCCCAGTCATAACAAAGAATAACAAGTGTCTCATAAACATGTGTTTACTCCAAGCAAAACACTTGATTGCCTTATCATGGAAGAACACTCAGAGGCCACATGTGGGCCAATGGCTGAGGGAAATGAGTAATTGCTGCTCGATGGAAAAGATAACGTATATTCTGAAAAGGAAAAATGAAACCTATGATAGGGTTTTGGGCCCGTTTACTCAACTGTTGGGTGATGTTAATGTGTCAAACATTCTAAGAAATAACAATGGAAATCCATGAGAGCGAATTAGTTGAATGGAAAAGTAAAGTACTTCTTAAACTGCTGTGACTATGTACACTTTTAGGATAATGTTCAGGGCTGCACATAACTGGTGCGCAGGTGCGCATGCGCACCCCCCGCTAAAAAAGAGCACCGGATCATTTGAAAAAAGGCGCATTTGCGAGAGAAGAGAGAGAGAGAGATATTTGCGAGTTGCATAAGAACTGGTAAGATAGCAGGGTTTCCCACACATATACTTTACTTGGGTGGGCCGCCCAGGTATGTTACCGGCTGCCAAAGTATAATTCGCGAGCTATTTAGGTTTAATTGTTTTAATCCGTCCGCGAGCACGACGGCATCTGCGATCCCTCGCTCTACCCCTCGCTATCGCGTGAAGGGTCTGCTTTATGCGCTCCGCACAGTAACCCTGCTGCGTGCTCACTAGCGAACCTTTTTCACATAATTTCTTTTATTTTAATGTTTTGTTGTCGTAACTATTTGTAAGGTATGGTGTGTCTTGTTGTTTAAAAGAATGAAAAATTAATAAACATATTGTTTTAAAAAAAAGAAAAGTGAAGTGTCTTCTCAGAAATATTTCCCCCTATGGGATTTAATATACCTCTCGCTTTTTAATTTGGACTCCAAATCCCCATTTATGAGGAAAATGTCAGAATACTCCACTAAAAGTACTTTCCATTAGCCTATAATCATTGTCAGTGGTGGTATAAATATTCGGATCTCTTACTTAGAGCCTCCTTCAGCTCATGAATCTTTTTTTTGTGTGTTTCTTCACTTGGATGTTTAAGCTCCGCTGTGCAGAATTATGTTTGAATGACTTTGTTTTCACGTTCACCTGCTAATGGAGAAAAGTGTCTCTGTGATAACCTCCAATCTTTAACAAAATCTGCAATTTTGGAGGGATCTGTAAGAAAGTCCAACAAAAATACCATATTAAAAAAACACAACCTTGACCATCAATATATATCGAGTTTTCTATTGACACACGGAGCAAAATTAGCACTCATTTGGGAGCATGTTCCTGACCGCTTGATGAATATTGTCTCTCCTTTTAGATGTGTGTTGGTCTCCACTGACTCCTCAGAGTAAACATCTGGCTCTTCAGCTGCTAAGTGCTCTATGTTCACCGGCTCGCCGCTAACTGTATCTGTCTGCTGTATCATGCTCAGCAGGTAGCGCACGGAAGCTTAGTAGAGCTTTTCACTGAAAACTGCTGCCTGCAGTTATAGAAAATAAGACCCGTGAGAGGGAATTCAAACGGTACATATGCAGGCCGTATAACCAAAACAATGAGATGCTATAAAGGTCGAGGGGAACTGCTTTGCTTGAAATAAATCTATGTACATTTGACATTATGATTTTCACTAACCATATCACCAATTTGTTTACTAAAAATTATTGATCAGTGCAGCTTTAAAAAAAATATTGACTACTTGCAGAAAAAATGGCATATGTAACACTCAGCACTCACTCACAAACTGCTTTCCAATTATTATGTGTAGAAATGATCTTCTTATAAATATTATGTCAAGTAATAATGTTGACTAAATTGAGCATATGTTTAATCCAAAAATCTTTCAAATATTTTAAATATTTCCCTCTGAAATGAGTTACAGAAAACTGATATAATTTACTGTTTCACTATTGGTTCTTGATGTTTGGCCAGTAAATTAGTAATTAAAAGATAAACTAAATTATAACATGGAGAGAAAATGCAAAATTATTAAAGTGTGAATATGTTTTTTTAAATTTCATATTTACATTTAGTGCCTCTATGACATGTCTCCATGCTTTAATGTTCAAAAAGCTCTTTATTGTTCTCATACTGCCTGTGCTGCAGCACCTCTTTTACCCTCTGTCTGAAGACAGATCCCAGTCTGCTCTGATTGGTTAGCTGGCCGGCTCTGTTGTGATTGGTAAGCTGCTTAGATATGTCCCGTCCCTTAGCCTATCAGATGCAATGTGTTTGAGCGCTAGCTAATAATAGCACGAGTGTTACGTGGTGATGTCACTTTGTTACTGAAGTAAACAAAGGGGTCTAAAGGAGGCGTTTCAGGCAGGGCAGGGGCAGTGTGTGGGAGAGCACTCCCTATGGAGGGAACTTTAGGGATTTTAGCCTTTGCAGACCATTTACATGCATCTATATATCACACTAGAGGAAAGGGAGAACCCAAAATATCTTAATAATTTGAACTATTTTTTAATGCTTTATGGACCATGATATCGGAACTTCTTGTTTGTTATATTTACATGGGTACACTTTTAAATTTACACTCAATTTTAAAAGTTTGGTCCGAAGATATATAAGCCTTTGTCTGCTGCGTCCATAGACCCCCCCCCCACCTCTCCAGGTTTTTATAAAGATTTATTTCAGAAACAAACTCTCTCTCATTACCTTCATCTGAGACGCTGTTAATGAACACCTCAGCTACATAATGAGCTGAAATGAATTGTGTTCTCCTCTATGGCAACCCTTTGCAACCTATAACAAAGACACACACACACACACACACACACACACACACACACACACACACACACACACCAGTACTAACTACGTACTAGTACGACTACACTATACTAACGTATACGTACACACACACACACACACACACACACACACACACACACCAATGCAACCATTCACATTTAAACAAATGAAGGCACCAAACATCCACCTGAGTTGAATTTACAGTGTGAGGCCGGACGTGATGGAGAGTGAGCTTGGACATCAAACACTTGATGGTTTGTGCCGGCAGCCGTGGCGCTCTCCATATTAATCCATTTAGACATTAGCATCATATCAAATGGATTAGACACAGACCCTAATTAGTTCATAATGTATCAGGTGCGTTGAGCAGAGCATCATTTAATATTCATAATTAAAATATTGGTTGTAAATCGGATTTTGTTTTGAAAATTAATAAAAAGTTATAGGATTTGTAGATCAACAAGTTGTTGAGCATGTTAATTAAAAAACAAATTTTAGGCCTACAAAACTGTACTCGGGCACAAATTTTTGGGGACAATGGTGCCATTTTTGCGAGAAAAAAACTAACCACAAGCTAAATAGAAGGCAAGGCAAGTTTATTTATATAGCACATTTCAAAACAAGGCAATTCATAGTGCTTTACACAAAATGAAAGACATTAAGAAAATGGCATTTCAAATCAGTCATTAAAAAGCAAAGATAATAAAATAAACATTAAAAGAAAAAATACATGGATAAAAGTTACAGTGCAGTTTAAAATGTGAATAGTTCAATTAAAAGCAGCTGCAAAAAGAAAAGTCTTCAGCCTGGATTTAAAAGTAGTCAGAGTTGCAGCGGACCTGCAGATTTCTGGGAGTTTGTTCCAGATATTTGGAGCATAATANAAGACTAAATACAGGGAGGGGTAATCATGAGACGAGAAATAGCCGGGCAGGGGAGGAGAAACACAAGGGCAACAGGTGAACACAATCAGACAATTAGACACACCAGGGAAACTAACGACAGGGAGGAAAACACAGGGAGAAGGACCAGACAAGACACAAGGAGGAAAACATGACAGGGAGAACAGAACAGCAAAAATAACCCCACAACTAGACACAACAAAACTCAAACCCTGACAAATGTAAGAACTGAAAAGAAAGAAAGAGTCGAAAGAAGTAGCTTGGCTCCAAAGAAACATACATATTTACATACAGTAAATCCATTTGTGAATGAATACACAAAAACACACGAATATATTAAATTTTTCTTATTATCACAGAAAATAAAGCATTATTTAAAGAATTTTTGGATTGGAGAATGATTACAGACATATCGCAAGCAACTTTGAAGGAACGATGATCTTCACAAAGTCCTGCAACGATCTTTGGAAGAAAACACTAGGGACAGCAGTGGAGACAGAGAGCGAAGGTCATTCTCGCACCAACAACACTAAATCCACAAAATCTTTTAATGGTGCGAACCAAAGCCAGAACTCACATGCCATGAAAGGGCAGTGCTGTCCTTCCCAAAGTTCACAGAAAACTTTTTCCAAAACAAGTTGTGTGGCCAGAAGAAAAACATAATTGATTATCAAAACCTTTCTGAAAATATATTGTATAACTGTGTTCTCACACACTCAATCACAGCTTTGGCACATTATCATTGGTTGAGTCAAATACATGAACATATAATCAAATAAATTAGTTAACACCATATAATCTTTGCCTGAAAGACTAACTCAAAGCAGGGGAATATGCAAACAAACATTGTTAATATTTGAATCTATATTCTCATTAGAATACACAAACAGTGTTTCAACATATTTCGTAAATCTCCCCTCTGTGGGACTAATAAAGGTATTCTGATTCTGAAAATATAGTATAGGAATAATCATCAGAGTATGAAGCAGCAACTAAGGATACTTTTTATCACGTTGTTTCCTAAAAAAAATGACACAGCATAAACAGACTTAGAAACCCCAACCGCACCAAGCCAGAGGAAATCCTTAAAACAATTTGGCACATCCAGTCCACTTCTGAACAAAACATTCATTGTTTGTTGTTGTTGAGTTTGCCTGCAGATTAATGTAATCCGCAGTGCACATGTGCATGGGTGGGACCGAACGCCTTCGGAGAGTGTTTGTATGCGCGTGTGTTTCCAAGTGTGGACGTAGCTTGTAACATACTGTTGTTGGGAAGCTGCCAGAGGAGCAGTGAATGAGGAAGCCAGAGGTGCTACATACTTCACTGCAGGCTCTGCCTACACACCGGGCTGCATCATCTGATTCAAATAAGCCTTTCGTCTTCTTGTCTCCTTGTCTCATGATCTAGCTGTTCTTTGAGAGTCATCACCTATTCAAAACAAAGAAACAAAACAAATTGAGGGAAGAAAACAAAAATACAGAGACATAAATCGAACAAAAGAAAGATAAATGATCCACACAATACCTGTTCCTCTAAGCATTTCACCCTCTGGCGATGAGCCTTCTCCCTGCTCTCCAAGGCCTGCTCTACTTGAAGCTGAGTGTCTCTCAGACGATCCGTCTCCAAATCTAACTCCTGGTGATGGCGGGCAGTCACCTCCAGGAGGTGCTGTGCATAAGAGTGCTCCGACTGGGACATTTGAGCCTGAGGACAGTTCACATAAGTTTATAGAAGTGTAAGAGAAGAGTAAAGGTCAGTAAGTGTAAACAGTGTTGGTACAGAAGGGGGACACAGAGTTTCTCTGAAGCTCAGCTGACGGAGGTCACGAGACCTGACACACAGGGGGTTCTTCTTAGAGCACAACTACAAAACACATACTGGTAGAAGGCAGTATTATGGATAGATGTAAACATGGTAGAAGGCAGTATTATGGATAGATGTAAACAATTAAATAGAACTCAATTAAAATTCTATTTGTAACAGCATTGAAACTCAAATGCAGAGCAAGATTTGTATGCAACTACTGTACATGAAGATAAAAGTACTAGACCAGTACTACTTGCTAATGTTTAAGTCTTTGTTTATATAGAACAATATATTAATACAATTCATGTTACACGGTGGAGGGCAGAAAAAGAAAATAAACAAGTTATAAAAACTACAGGTTTAAAAACAATTTGGTATATAAAGAGTAAAACGTAGTATAATGAAATAAGTAAATGACCTAAACTCAGGAATGCTCTCCGATCAAAGTGATGTGATCATGACCAGGCTTGGGGAGTAATGGCTTACAGTTTAAAACGAGATTACGTCATCAGGATACAGAAAAAAAGTAACTGTATTCGATTACAATTATAAAAAAAAAATGAGTTATCAGATTACTGTTACATTGAAATTACTAACAGGATTACATAGTTACAATACATTTTTAAATAAAGATCGATATATATAATAGGTAGACATAATTAACTAATTTTCTTTATGGTTTATATTTAGGCTACTTTAATTCTTCTTTATTTTGAATGCATTTCTTTTTGAATGCAGTAGATGAACACCTGGTTTGATTAAATTAAAATGCATTAAAAATCATCTTATTGTTATTTATTTTATCGTTTTTATTTGCTTTGCATTTGATATTGAGGTTTTCCAAAAGCAACGGAAAGTATTCAGGTTACATTACTTTTCTATTTTGATACTAATATTAGCCTACTGATTACTTTTTTTGACATGTAACTAGTTATTACATTTTTGAAGTAACCCTCCCAATCCTGACAAGTCTCTTGGTCCTGGCTAATCCCTGGCAGCTGAGAGACTCCTGCTCCCCCCTGGCTCTCAGAGCAGTGTCTCACCTGCAATGTCTGCACCTCCTCCTGCCTCTCAGCCAGCTCCTGTCCCAGCTGCTCCTTCTCTCTGGCAGCAGACGCCGCCTCCTCCTCCACCCTCAGCCTCTCCATCTCCACCTGACAACGACACAAGGGGTGACATAATGTGAACGACTTTACCATGATTGTTCTGCACTCATGTGCATTCCTGTAATGCGTGTAGCAGAAGCCAAGCTCAGAAGTTCTCACAGTCCACCAACATGTTTCCATCATTACAAGATGATTTGTACAATATGTGAATAAGGACATGAATAAGTGGGAAATGGAACAAGCTAAATTACGCCAATGACACAAACTACAGTGTGATGAACAGCTAATTATCTTGATGCTCTCCTACCGAATGGATTATTATAACTGCACATTAATGTAACCTAACGCTTTCAGTGAATGCCCGTCCTGATCCGGGATGTGGCAGAAGGCATCTGAGCGACAATATACACATATTCGTATCTGTGCTTCCAGCAGCTCCAGAATTGACTCTGAGATGCTTTTAATTACATTTAAAGCGCTTTCAGGTTTGGCTCACTCATATATTTAAGATGGTAGACCTCATATTCAGCATCAACACTTTTCAGGTCTCCTGACAAAAAAGCTGTTTAATGTTCTTGGGTCCCTCTAAATAGCGACTGTGCTTTTACTGTTTCAGCTGACACTATGAAGCTGCTTCTCATCGCCAATCAGACCTTTACGTTGTTTGCATTTTTATAACCTCAACTGTTCTTTATGATACATCCTACGTACCTCATTTGTGACATAGTTTGAATACCCTTAGTTGGATTACAAAGATAAAGGGATAGTTAGGATTTTTGTACAAGTGGGGTTTTCTATTGCTGGTGTATTAGATGATGGCTGGCACACCCCCAGTTTGGGAGATAAGAAACGTGCTGCTGCAACAGGGGCAGCAGTGTTTAGGACGCAAACAAACGTATATCAGTTTCACTTGACTCTATATCTAGAATATTTTCACTGCTTCAGCTAGCCACCAGACATCATTTTTTATCAGGAACAATTGGAGTTATTATAAATATAGCGTACACTTAAACTGATGTTTTTTTGAATATTTTTATTTTTAGATGGGCCTTTTTTATGAGGCTCAAATGTGCTTTGCTGCTTCAATCCACAGCAGCACTTCATAATCCTGGTTCTTCTGTCTTCTTTTCCACACTCCTGGTGTGACAACCACTATGTACTGTGGGTAATACACTGACTATGGATAAGTGCCTCATACAACCCCTCTTTATACAAATGTTAACTATCCCTTTAAGAATAAAGTCACTTTGGGAAATATGGCCCTCTGTTTCCAGTTTTATGCAAAGCTAAGCTCACCAACTGCTGACAGTAGATTCATAAAAAAGCATCCACTGCTGTTTATCTTTTTATCATACTCTCAATAAGAAAGAGACGTAATCATTTTTCCAACACGTCAAACAATTCCTGAAGTATACAGCAGTGCAGCTTATAGAGCAGCTCACCTTCTCCAGAGTCTTTCTGAGCCCCGACTTGTCTTTACCAAGGCGCGTTAGCACCCTTTCCATCTCTGCTCTCTCACTCTGTAGCTTTTGCAAAGAACTCTGCAGATAGGTGACCTTGTCCTGGAGTTCCTGCTTGTCTCGCTGAAGCTGCTGGGAGCCCCCCAGGGCCTGCAGCTCGGCTCCCTGCTGTTGCTTCAGGCTCTGGTACACATTCATTACATTACATAACATTACATGTCGCTTTATCCAAAGCGACTTACATACTCAGTACTGTGGACAATCCCCACAGGAGCAGTTTGGGGTGAAGAGTCTCAGGGACACAACAACATGCTGACTGCAGTGGGGTTTGAACCTGAGCTCCCCTGATCCCAACACCAACGCACAACCCACTACACCACACGCCTTCTCCTCCATACACAGCGCGATGAGTGATGATTAAATAACTAACCCCCCGAGCCTACAGGTGGAAGCTGGGGTTTAGCTGGGGTTGTGCTGGGGTGGTGGAAGCTGGGGTGGTGGAAGCTGGGGTGTAGCTGGGGAGGAAGCTGGGGTGGAAGCTGGGGTGGAAGCTGGGGTGTAGCTGGGGTTNTTAAAAGCAGCTGCAAAAAGAAAAGTCTTCAGCCTGGATTTAAAAGTAGTCAGAGTTGCAGCGGACCTGCAGATTTCTGGGAGTTTGTTCCAGATATTTGGAGCATAATAACTGAACGCTGCTTCTCCATGTTTAGTTCTGACTAGGGACAGAAAGCTGACCAGTCCCTGAAGACCTGAGAGATCTGGATGGTTCATAATTTAGCAGGAGGTCGGGCCTAAACCATTCAGTGCTTTATAACCCAGCAGCAGTATTTTGAAATCTATTCTTTGACACACAGGAAGCCAGTGTAAAAACTTCAGAACAGGAGTGATGTGATCCACTTTCTTAGTGTCAGTGAGGACTCGAGCAGCAGCGTTCTGAATTAGCTGCAGCTTTCTAATAGATTTTTTAGCGAGACCTGTAAAGACACCGTTACAGTAGTCCAGTCTACTGAAGATAAAAGCATGGACACGTTTTTCCAAATCCTGCTGTGACATTAGTCTTTTAATCCTAGATATGTTCTTTAGGTGATAGTAAGCTGATTTAGTAACTGTTTTTAATGTGACTGTTGAAACTCAGGTCAGAGTCCATGACTACACCTAGATTTTCTGGCT